TACAGAGATTATACAATGTCCACATTCCCCTTTGGCAGAGCAATCTTTCTCATGGGAAAAGAAATGAAATGCAGAAAAAGCTGAAATGCTTTTTCAGTGTTATTTAAAATAGAGAAATATCTGGAAAAACATAAATGTTCAGCATTGGGGGCAATAAAGTAAATTATAGTTCATTATTAATGGATAATATGATCACAAAAGCAATAGCTCAAAGACTACAACTTGGAATAGACACTTGATACATAAAAAGCAAGTCAAGAGCCGGGCGCCGGTGGCCACGCCTTTGTAATCCTACTTCTGGAGCCGACGCGGGCGGATGCTCGAGAAGTCAGGAGTTCGAAACCAGCCTGAGCAAGAGCGAGCCCAATCTCTTACTATAAATAGGAAAGAAATTAATTGTCTCACTAATATATACAAAATACCGGGCATGTGGCAACATGCCTTATCCCAGCTACTTGGGGGCTGAGCAGGAGGATCCTTGACCCAGTAAAGTTGAGGGTTGCGTGAGCAGGCTGGACGCCACGCACTCACTCTAGCCTGGGCAACAAAGCGAGACTCATGTCTCAAAAAAAAAAAAAAAAAAAAAAAAAAAGCAATCAAGATACAGGTTGAACTACAATTTGATTCTGATCATTCCTTTGAATAGAACCAAGAAGAAATAAGATACTGAGAAAGTTGCTTGTTGGCAGGGACTTGTGGGTGCTTATCAATTGTTTATGTTGTTATATAATATTGTATAATTTCTTCAAATTGCATAAATATGGGCTGGGTTCATTGGCTCATGCCTGTAATCCCAGCAGTTTGGGAGGCCAAGGATGGAGGGTTGCTTGAGGCCAGGAGTTCAAGACTAGTCTGAGCAACATAGCAAGACCTCGCCTCTACAAAAAAATTAAAAGGTAGCTGTGCATAGTGGCACGTGCCTATAGTCCTAGCCACTTCTCCTCACTCCGGAGGCTGAGGTGGGAGGATCGCTTGACTCCAGGAATTAGAGGTTATGGTGAGCTATGATCGCACCACTGCACTCCAGCTTGGGTAATAGAGTGTGACATTTTCTCAAAAAAAAAAAAAAAAAAAAAAAAAAAGACAACAAGGAAGTTTGCTACATCAATTAAATCTCCCTTTCATGAAAGATTTCTCTGTAGCAAGTGATACTGTTTGATGGCATTTTATCTACAGTAGAGCTTCTTCCAAAATTGGAGTCAATCCTCTCAAATCCTGCCACTGCTTTATCAACTAAGTTTGTAATATTCTAAATCCTTTATTGTCATTTCAACAATGTTCACAGCGTCTTCACCAGGAGTCCACCTCAAGAAACTACTTTCTTTGCTAATCCGTAAGAAGTAACTCCTCTTCTTGTGAGATCGCGACAATTCAGTCACATCGTTGGGCTCCGCTTCTAACTCTAGTTCTCTATTTTCACCACATCTGCAGCAACTTCCTGCACTTAGGTCTTGAACCTCTCAAAGTCCTCCACGAGGGTTAGAATCAACTTCTTCCAAACTGCTGTTACGGTTGATATTTTGATCTTCTCCCACGAATGTTCTTAATGGCATCCAGAATGGCGAATCCTTTTCAGAAGGTTTTCAATTTTTCCAGATCCATCATAGGAATCACCGTTATGGCAGCTACAGCCTTATGAAATGTATTTCTTAAATAATAAGATGTGAAAGTTGAGATGCCTCCTCGATCATGGGCTGCAGAATGTATGTTGTGTTAGCAGGCATGGAAACAACATTAATCTTCTCATACATCTCCATCAGGGCTCTTGGGTGATAGGTGCACTGTCATTGAGCAGTAATATTTTAAAAGGACTCTTTTCTTCTGAGCAGCAGGTCTCCACTATGGACTTAAAATATTCATTAAACCATGCTATAAACAGATTGCTGTCATCCAGATTTTGTTGTTCCATTTATAGAGCACAAGCAAAGACGATTTAGCATAATTCCTAAGGGCCCTAGACTTTTCAGAATAGTAAATTATTGGCTTCAACTTAAAGTCATCAGCTGCATTATCCTCTAACAAGAGAGTAAGCCTGTTCTTTGAAGCCAGGCATTGACTTCTCCTCTCTAGCTATGAAAGGCCTAGATGTCATCTTCTTCCAATAGAAGGCTATTTCACCTATTAATACATTGAAAATCTGTTACTTAGTGTAGCCACTTATTTTAGCTAGATCTTCTGGATAACTTCTTCTACATCAGCACTTGCTGCTTCACCTTGCTTGTACTTTTGTTATGGAAACAGCTTCTTTCCTTAAATCTTATGAATAAACCTCTTCTGGCTTCCACTATTACTCCTGCAGCTTCCTCACCTCTATTAGCCTTCAAAGAATTGAAGAGAGTTAGGGCCTTGTTCTGGATTAGGCTTTGGACTAAGGGAATGTTTTGGCTGTTGGATCTTTTATCCAGACCATAAACTTTCTCCATATCGGCAATAAGGCTGTTTCGCTTTCTTATCATTTGTGTGTTCACTGGACTAGCACTTTTAATTTACTTCGAGAACTTTTCCTTTGAATTCACAACTTGGCTGTTTGGCACAAGAGGCCTAGTTTTAGGCCTATCTTTCTGTCTTTAGGCTTTCGACATACCGTCCTCACTAAGCTTAATCATTTCTAGCTTTTGATTTAAAGTGAGAGATTGGCAACTCTTCCTTTCACTTGAACACTCAGAGGCCATTGTAGGGTTATTAATTGGCCTAATTTCGATATTGTTCTGTCACAGGGAATAAGGAAGCCTGAGCAGAGGGAGAGAGATGGGGAACCGGGCAATTGGTGGAGCAGTTAGAACACACAACATTTATAGGTGAAGTCTGATGTCTTATATGGGCGTGGTCCGTGGCACCCCAAAACAATTACTATAGTAACATCAAAGATCACTACTCACAGATCACCATAGCATATAATGATAATGAAAAAGTCTGAAATATTGCAAGAATTACCAAAATGTGACACACAGACATGAAGTGAGCACATGCTGTTGTAAAAATGACACCAATAGACTTACTCAATGTAGGGTTGCCATAAACCTTCAATTTGTAAAAAATACAATGAAATGAAATGCAATAAATCAAACTACAATAAAATGAGGTATGCCTGTAACCTATTTTAAGTATTCATGTATACATACTTATCTTAAGCAACAAATTATCTGTCGGCTCTATAGTCAGACAACTCATGTAATTATACTTGTTTTAAAAGGGATTACTTGTTTAAAAGGGATTACTTGTTTAAAAGGGATTACTTGTTTAAAAGGGATTCGCCTGTAATCCTAGCAGCTTGGAAGACTGAGGTGGGAGGATCCCTTGAGGCCAGGAGTTCAAGACCAAGCTGGGCAACATAGTGAGATCCCGTCTCTTAAGAAAAAGTGATTAGCCAATTGAATTGCTTAAGGGCATTACATAAACAGCAGAAGCACAAGACAATCAGGTGATGTCATAATTCCTCTGCTTAAGGGAGAGTTTTTTTTTTAATCTGACGAGTCAGTAGTAGAGTAGGAAAGGGGAAAAGGGAAATCATGGGGATAGGGAAGGAAGATGAGGGAATACAGTGGTTTTCAGAACGCAGAAATTTCAGCAGAGATTATAGTGAAACACTATGGATGCCAGCTTTTGTGATTTTTAAAAAGCCTTGGTTTTAAGCTTTTGCTTTATTCAGTATGGTGGGCCCTCACCCACAGCCACAAGGATCTCTTGAAATACTAGTCTGCCCATGTTCCTACTCTGCCCTCACTACCAGAGTAATCCAAGACTCACAGCAGACTTGGCCCTCTTTCCATTCTTTGCCTCACACTTATTTAAATGCTTTTCTAGTTCCAGAGAACTATGCATTTTTCTCCTGTTGTTTTGTGGGCCTGGAATGCTAGTCTCACTTTTCTTTGCCTGGCTGGTAATTATTTTCCTTTTGAAAACTCGGATGTCATCTGTCAGAAAACCTCCCCAGTTCCTTCAACAGAGTCCTGGGCCCTGTGCATAACTCTATTTCACTTTTTTATCCTCTCCTTTCTACTGGATATTCCACGTAATTTTATGTTATTTTGATCTATCAGTCTTCTAGTCCTGACGGTACTATTTCATCTTTGCAGCCTACACTCTAGCAGGTGTGGCACCCGAGAAAGGTTAATGAGGCTGGAAGGAACCCACGTTTGGTCACCATGACCCAATGACCTCAGCCTCCTACGTGGGACCCAGAATCCCTAAACTGTACTTTTCAAAATCACAGTGCTTGCAAGCGCCCCCAGAACACAAATCCCTTTTGCAGGGGTTGAAATGTATCAAGTCACCGTTACTCATCTTAGGTCAAGGCTCCAAATCTGGACAACCAGATTCTCGAGGGGAGAAGGAGAAATCTGATTTCCAGGAAACAAATACTCCAGGTGCGCCCTAGTTGGGCAAGCAGCACAACGGGCCGCCCGGGCTCCTTGGGAGCCGGTCCCAGCCGCCGCCTCCTCCCCCGCTCCCACGCGGTCTCGGCTTTCAGGTGGACACCACCCAGGTGGGTGCCACATCTGCGCGCCGTGGCCGGGCGGATGTCCCCGAACACTTCTGCCCGGACCCCGCGGCAGCGGCAGCGGCAGCCGCGCGACCAGATGGCGTGGGTGTCACCTCGCGCCGGCCACCCTCTCCAGCGCGATGCGCCCGCGGAGGGGCCTGGGAGGGGAAGCCCTCGGGGTGCCAGACTCCGTACCCCGGAAACTCCGAGGGCAGGAGGGTCCTGGAGCGCTGAACCCGTTTCCCCGGAGTTGCGCAAGAGCCGGGCGGCCCGGCTGGGCGGGAAGGACCGAGCGGACGCCCCGCCGACGACCCCGCGTGGCCCGCCAGCCCGCCCGCGCCCACCCGCGCCGGGTCCGAACCAAAAGCGAAAGTAACTCGACCGCCGCGTCCCGCCGGCTCCGGCGTCGCGTGCGCCGCGGGGTGGCCGCGAGCCCCCGGGCGGGCGCCCCGCCGCTTTGTGACTTCACTGGTTTCGCAACAAGCCCGGGCGGCCCGCGCCCCACCCACCCGGCCCGGCCGCCTCGCCGCCCGCCGCCTCGCTCCGCTCGTCGCGCTTCCCCCTCCGGGGCCCGGCCTGCCCGGCCGTCGCGGAGCCGCCCCGTCCCACCGCCGCCCGTGGCCGAGCGCGCGTGGCCGCCGCCTCCAGGCAGCCCGGAGCAACCCCGGCGAGCGCAGCGCCCTCTCGGCGGCGGCGGCGGCGCGATGCTGTGCTTCCTCCGGGGAATGGCCTTCGTCCCCTTCCTCCTGGTGACCTGGTCGTCCGCCGCCTTCATCATCTCCTACGTGGTGGCCGTGCTCTCCGGGCACGTCAACCCCTTCCTCCCCTACATCAGGTGAGAGGCAGGGTGGGCGCCGCCGACGGGGAGGGACGACGCCCGGGCCCGGCTGGGGCGTCCGGCGACAAGACCGAGGTAGAGTGTCCCCCGTGGCCCGGGATGTGGGAGCCGGGGGGCACGGCGCTGAGGTGCCGCCTCTACCCTGAGCTCGAGCGGAGCGGCGCCGGGAGAGTCAGGACAAGCGGTAGAACTTCCAGTCTGGGTACGGACAGATCTCGGGAGGACACTTGTCTGGCAATATTGAAACAAGGACGGGTCCTGAATAGATGGCATTTATTGTGTAAGGTAGATCCAGGTCTGCTCTAAACAGCTCACTATTTCGCTTCAGCCTCCCAACATCCTTTGATGTGGATGTCTAGGCTCATTTGTCGTGCAAGGAAACGGAGGTTTAAAACAGATGAAATGTCAACAATGTGACATGAGTGTCACGCTAGGAAATGGTAGAAGCAGACAGAATTCACATCCAGATCTGTCCCGTATGGAAAGCTACCCTGTGCTTTCCTGGTCCTCGGGAGTCTGGCTTACGCTCCTCCTAGGCACTGCACCCCTAAAGTCAGAGCCCTCAACTTGCTAACAACCTGTGACATCCCTTGTGTTATTTTACCAAATCACTTTTGCTGTGTTATGGCCTCCGCCTTCCCTGAGGGTCACTCCATCAGTGCCAGTGACAATGGCCTGATCCTTTTTACATGGCTCCCAGCTCTGTGCCTTGGCCGTACCTTGGTGCCTTGGTGGCAGTAGGTATTCCTTCAACGTTCAAATAATCCATCCTTATCTAAGTAGTGTGACCCCTCTGGGTCTGCAGTGGTTGGTGAGGGGATGATAAAATTGGTGACACCCTAGGTTTGTTATGCCTTTAAGATACAGGGTACAGGGGCGCCCTTCTTGCAGCCACTCCGTCTGGTGAGCAATGTTTTGTGGTGGTGTTTTTTTTTTATGGCGGGGAAGAAGAAACCAAGGAGAGGAAAGAGGGGACTAGAGTTGAAGAGATGGAAGGAAGAGAGTGATAGGTAGAACAGTGCACAGAAACAAATCTGCAGTAGCTATGGTGGTTTTGCCCATGCAAAAAGAGATAGATGTTCTGTACATAGAGGAGTCTTTCCCATCTGGTCTTGTGCCCATGCGGAAACCTGGGCTTGGTTTCTCATGGTCAACCTCAGGCCCAACTGCCATCGGCTCACTTCTCTTGTTTATGAAGCAGGATAGATCCTTCAGACGTGTGAAGGGAAAGAGCTGCTCTCCCTGCAATGCTTTTTTTTTTTGAGACAGTCTCACTCTGTTGCCTGGGCTAGAGTGCCGTGGCGTCAGCCTTATTCACAGTAACCTCAAACTCCTGAGCTCAAGCGATCCTCTTGCCTCAGCCTCCCAAGTAGCTGTGACTACAGGCACGTGCCACCATTCTTGGCTGATTTTTTTCTATATATTTTTAGTTGGCCAATTAATTTCTTTCTATTTTTAGTAGAGATGAGATCTCGCTCTTGCTCAGGGTGGTCTTGAACTCCTGACCTTGAGCGATCCACCCATCTCGGCCTCCCAGAGTGCTAGGATTACAGGCGTGAGCCACCACACCCTGCCCTCTGCAATGCTTTTTATTGAGAAAATAGTAGCTGTGTTTGGCTGGATCTAGAGGTCAGGGACACATAATATGTGATATGCATTGGCCAGGCCGACAGAGGCAGGGTTTGAATCTTTGTAGAAGTGTCTGATGTGGCTGTGATTAACGTCACCCCAAGGTGAACTTGAAATGGGAGCTGTTCAGAAGTGGGGAAATAAGCTGACAAGGTGAACCACTTGTGAGATGCTCAAATTACAGACACTTGAAGGAAGGGAGGTTAAAATTTAACAAGGAAAGAAAGCCTTCAGGAAAAGCAGAATTATGAGCAAAAAAAGGAATGAAATTGTCCCTTTATTGCCAGGAGTCCTCAGCCAACAAACAACAAACGTGTGTGTGGATTGCCTAGATGTACTGTGGTTTTAGGGTTTGCTCTCTCTGCTTCTTGGAGCAGCTGGAGCATTGGGACAAGCCCCCACCTCTCCCCCGCCTTTCTGGGAAAACCAAGTCACTGAAGCAAGGGCAAGATGGAGCTAGAACCAGACAGGAAGAAGTGATGGGAGTAACTCCATAGTCAGAAATGTTCGACCTTATTATCTCTAGCCTTAAGGCCCCCTCCTCTCCTCTTCCCCTACTCCTTGTACTTCCCTTCAACCACACTGGCCTCCTTCCTGTGTCTTAAACACATCAGGCACACCTCCTCCTCGAGGCCTTTGCATTCCCTCTGCCAGAATGTTCTTCCTTCAGGTATCACCAGACTTTCTCCCTTACCTTCTTTGTTCAAACATTACCATCTCTGTGAGACTTGCCCTGATCACCTTTTATAAAATTGAGCTTGACCACTCCTGATCCCCCACGTCTTGTCTTATTGTGCACCGTAGCACTGTCGCCTTCTAACAAATCATGTGATTTAACTTATTATGTTTATGATCTGTCTTCCCTCACTGGAATGTAAGATCCATGAAGACTCCATGTTTGTTGAATGAATATTTCTTGGGCACTCACTACCCCAGGGTAGGCCAGGGCAGAACCCTTTGGGGAAAGCTTGTAAGACCATTTCAGTTTGGTGGTTGGGCAGGGATTTGGAAGTTCTCAGAATGAGTCCCCTTTTACATTCTAACATTGTTCAACCAATCTGATGGTCCGATGTTTTTAGAGCAGTTGAACACTTTAAATAAGAGCCACAACCATAAGGAGGTCTTTTCCCCAGTATGACAAAATCAGCTTCCTTATCAGATATTTTCTGCTTGTAACATACTCTTCAGTATATTGGATAAAAAGGCAAATGGCTCCTAGACATGTGGAAAGATGCTCGACTTCATGAATAGGAACAAACATTTCAAATTAAAACTCCCTGATGCCAGTTTTCATCTGCTGAATTAGCAGAAATCCAAACGTTTGATAATACTACTGGTGAGACTTTGGGGAAGTAGTCTCTCTCATACATTGCTCATGGGAATGTAAATTGATTTCGGTCTCTGTTGAGTGACTTTGGGGATATCTATGAAAATCTCTTTCTCACACACAAATACACATATATCATTTGATACTACAGCCTCTCTTTTGTAAATTTACCCCACAGGTATACATACATGCCCATGTGAAGAATGCCATATCTACAAGGTTACTCAGAGCATTGCTTTGCATAACAAAAGATTGGAAACAATATAAATATCCATCAGTGGAGGACTGGCTAAATAAATATGGTTTATCCAAAGAATACCTCAATTGCACTCTGGGAGGCCGAGGCGGGTGGATTGCTTGAGGTCAGGAGTTCGAAACCACCCTGAACAAGAGCGAGACCCCGTCTCTACAATAAATAGAAAGAAATTAATTGGCCAACTAATATATATAGAAAAAATTATCTGGGCATGGTGGCACATGCCTGTAGTCCCAGCTACTCGGGAGGCTGAGGCAGCAGGATTGCTTGAGCCCAGGAGTTTGAGGTTGCTGTGAGCTAGGCTGACGCCACGACACTCACTCTAGCCCGGGCAACAGATTGAGACTCTGTCTCAAAAAAAAAAAAAAAAAAAAAGAATACCTCAAGCAATAGCTCTGCATACATAGTGTATTCTCTTTAAATCAATATGCTGATATGAAAACATCTCCAAGAGACATTGTCACATGAAAACAAGCAAGATGAAGAACAAAATATGCTACCAATAGTTGGGAAGAAAGAGGAGAAAAATGATATGTATTTGTATTAGCTTGTTTAAAGAAACTAATGCAAGTGGCTTACCTGTGTGTGACAAAGGGAGGAGTGGGTCAAGGTCAGTGAGATATTAACAGGGGAAGAAGGATGATCATAAGGCATGCCATTTTTATATGTATTTTATCCTGGTGGATGGATTTTATATCAGAAAATGAAATTAAAAACATACGTTTCAAATAGCCACCAAATTTAACAATTGGAATAGCATAAAGTGATATTTCTATATTATGAAACCATTAATGCAAGGATGTCAAAACCAAGGACAAATAAAAATCAACCTGAAAATATTAGTTTAAATTCATACAAAGTTACACCCACATTCTCAAGCACACACAATCACTCTTAACTTGTTATAGTTTCTTACATTTCCTTTGTAACCAAATCCCTAAGGCTAACTCATCAACTTATTAACTTGTTCCAGCTGGTAGACCACTCTCTTCTGTCTTCTTCTTGGGCATGTGTCTCTTGGATCCACAGTGTTCTGTGACCCTTTCTTTACTCTTCGGTTTTTTTTTTTTTTGAGACAGGGTCTCACTCTGTCACCATGGCTAGAGTGCAGTGGCACCATCATAGCTCATAGCTAATTTTAGAAGATATCTGTTTATGTGTGAATATAATATCGGAAGCTTTCTTAACCAGCCTCAATTTAATCAACTTGCTGGGTTAACTAATAACTTTGTCCTCTGAAAAATACACTGACTGTAGCCAGTGGCCCTTGAAAATGTCTCCCACTGTGGGCCACTCTCTGGGTACTAGCTGGCTTCTGTCACCTGTATCTTTGTATTCTTATCAAATGCCAGTTGTGTTTATTCCCAAATTGTATTTATGTTTATGCCAGTTGTACTTTTTATTGTAATTGTGTGACTTAATATACATCAACTGTTGATCTATGAATGCAAAAAGAAAGAATTGTAATTTCTAAAAAAATCTGGTTGAATACTTTGGAAAGATTCAAAAGAGACAAGTTGTCGAAAAAAATTGTAGTCGTTTTCATAGTGGATATGACAATTGTAAAGATTTAGGAAAACTGATAAAAAGAAAAGTGGGAATCTGCACTCAAATTGCTTCAAAAATGTCTCTAAGATTTCCCTGTGCTTTAAAGAAATCATAACTGGTTTCAGAGTAGATGTGGTTTATATGCCAAGAGGACACTCAGTGGATCTGTACTCTGGTAATGGCCTTGACCTACATCAATAGGTGGGCAGTGAATGTACATGTATGTGCTTTCAGTTA